GTATAGCTATACTGTCAGACCCTAATCATGAAGGGATTAGCAATGCAGAGATATTTATAGACCTACCTAGCTCTATAGTTCCACCGACACCAATCAGGGATGCTGCGCTGTGATAGAGTGGCAAGGTGACATACATTACATCATCTTCAGTTGCCCCAAATGCCCAAAAACCTGCTGCTGCCTTCAGGCTCTGGAGGTGCGTGATCACTGCAGCCTTAGGAAGACCTGTGGGGAAATAACCGCATAACGTTATATTTGGGACGCTACATTTACAAAATAGCAAATAGCATGCTTTTGATTGAATAAGCGGCCATCTGAAGAACAATTCAAGCTTGAATTCTGCATAAATAAAGTGAACATCTTTTAGGGATACGAAGCTCTCGGTCCAATAATGAAAGAGGAGGGTTTACCATAGATGCAATTATGCCAGTCACCAACCTTTCAACCTTTCCCACTCTGTGCTGTCCCTGTTTTAAAAGCCCATCCCTACCTCTGACCTTGAAGTCGAGGTTTCTGAGATTTGAACTGAGTAAGTAAATGCATCTATGCCGTCAAGTTGAAAATCCTACATTGCCTAGTTCTCGAGTTATGGCGCTCACAAACTTGGGTGTCCATGCCACCTGCGTGTCCCGCCAGGGTGGCAGCAATGCCTCAACTTTTATGGCTTAAGGGATAAAAATCATTGTTCCCACTGTATAGATGGGACAAACCCTGTGTTGAACCAGTTTCTGTGTTCATGTGACACAGAAAAACACAATATGACAAAACTAGACATAGATAGTTGTACTTTATTAAGCAAACTGTGTAACCTTTCATAGTGCAGGCTGGTAAAAGTAAATTAATGTTAAACTTAGTAACTAGTAAAAACATCCATCAGGCAGTTTGAGCAATGAGAAGGAAATTAGGATCATTTGTCCTTCAAAATCTTTTCAGTTCACCAGTATTTCTGGCCTAATTTAAACACAAGCAGCAGTTTATTCTTCAGTATCACATTTATGTTAAGTTCATGACTCTGACTCAGCCATTCCAATAAGCCAATCTCTTTTAAACATCAGTATATGGATATCCCCAAATTATTATGTTCCCCTGACCATCCTTCACACATGGGATGATGGAATAATGAGTCTGGTGTGTGGTGTGCACCGGCTTTCTTGCTCCAAACATTTCAATGTTTTCACTAACTTGTTGTGCAACTTTAGATCATGTAAATCACAAATACAGTTTCCATGTCAAATACCGTAGAATGTGTGAGTGAGTAATTTAAACTGTATTAAAAATAAAAAACAGAATTTTATCATCTTCATGCTCCCCCAACCCACACAACCATCCTGTCCAAATAGGGGGCTTGAGATTTTTTTGAGGCTCTCTTTTCTAGGCAACTGCTTCTGATCTTATCCACAATGTTCGACACCAACACATGAAGCGCTTTTTTAATAATATAATATAATATTCTTTGTGAGTACTGAACTGGTCATCACACTTTCATCAGTTTGCTTCCCAAACCCTCAAACCACCCTGCTTATAAACCACTTGCACAGCTATATAACAAGAGTATATCAGATAGAGTAACATTACACATTATAGACTGCATAAAATAGAACATCCACTCTTCAAGAGTACAATGGTATAATTTGTATACATATAAATAAGCACCACTCATTAATTAATAATTGGGGGTCACTGCACCTAGTGCTCCGATTATCCCTGGGACCACTGTTACCTTCACCCTTTACACACTCGAGCTCTTCTCTAAGCCCTTGGTATTTCTCAAGCTTCTCGTGTTCCTTATTCCTGATGTTGCTGTTATTCGGTATTCCTACGTCTATCACTACGGCCGTCTTCTTCTGCTTCTTGACCACCATTTTGTCCGTCTGTATCTGGAAGTCCCACAGGATCTTAGCTCGGTCATTTTCGACCAACCTAGGGGGCGTCTCCCATTTTGATCAATTTCTGTAATGTTGCCTTCTGGTAGTGTGATCCCCCTCAGTTCGGACTACTTTCCCTCTCTTTGTTATCATCTAACTACACTTCTCCAGTCTGAATGACATTCCAATGTCGTTGCTGTATATCCTGGTGGTGTGGATCAGTGAATCGATGTCTTATTTACTCTTGGCATACAACTTGATGTCATCCATGTAGAGGAGGTGGCTGACAATTGCTCCATTCACTCTGGCAGTCTCAGCTGACTGTTTGGTCTACCAGTAGCTGGGGTTTTGGGCCTCTGGTCTTCTTCTCAATTCCTTTCTGTGCCCCACTCATGAATTGAGCCATGTGCCTGTTCATCTTAGCTGTTCATCTTACTGGACCCTGTTCAGGGAGGTTGCTGTGGACTGCTCTGAGACCCACTAACCAGTGAGTATTGCCGTTATGGGTTGCGTCCTTATCCCATATGCTCTTCCAGCATTGCACTGTCTTCAGCCTTGGTGCTTCTCATATTGTTCTGCCAATGAGAGCGCACCTTGGCTGGTTCCGTGGAGAACAGCTGGTTTATTCTCCTGCCTGGTGGACCTCTTCAAGTGGCAGGCCAAGGCTGTGAGTTTTTGCTTGGCAGTTTCCAAAGCCTCTGGTATGGACAGCTTGCTTCTTAGGCACCTTCTTCTGCAAATTCGATAGTTGGCTAACCTCCCTCTGTGCTACCTTAAA